ATTGCGAAACCATTCAGCTGGTGACTGTTTATTTTAATTCCCAACCAAAGGTCAATGCTTTGGCAATAAATTTCCTTCGAAGGCGTGCCTCTCTCAAAAAAAAAAAAGGAAAACAAAATGCAAATGGCACTTGTGCGTGCGTCGCCAGAAATTTCAGTCAATTAAATGAAAATAAATGAATAATTGATAGTTTTCATGGCTCTCTGCGTACTCCACCTTGAACTAAACCTTGGTCAAGTGAAATTTTCGGGGGAAGGGAACTCACAGCCAGTGGAAGAATGTCGTTTGAATATTTAAAACTGTTAGACGCTTTCGGCGTTCGATTGCCAGACCCAGGACATCAGGACATCACGGTGGACTTTGGGGAGGGGGGAGGGGGAAAGGGGGCGTGGCGGGTACTGCTCCTGACCGGAGCCACAATGACGTTAATGACAGTGACGAGCGGTTGTTTGCCTCAGTTCTCGGCCAAACATTCAGCGCAGGCAAACAAACAAACAAACAAACAAATGCACGCACGTACTCCAGGCGACACACACTCACTTGCACACACACACACACACACACACTCGCACACTCACTCATAAAAAACAATCAAAATGCAAAACGGAACCAGGCAGACGACACTCCGTGGGGAGAGTGTCCGTGTGTGTGTCTACACTGGGAGAAACTTTGCTCCAGAGAGTGCTGTATTTCGTACAACTTAGAAAGGGATAGGTTTTATGCTATGAATTTCGGGTTTTTTAATGGTAAAATAAAACCAAAAATTTTATTCAATTAAAATACTTAAAATGGAGGAATCAGTTTTGTGTGGAATATTTTAGTTATTGTTTATAAATCAAAAAGTATGCTAATTATCATTAAATTGATCGCAATCGAAGCGAACATTAAAAGACATTTAAAAGCGCTTTTTGAAGAAATCCACAGCAATTAACCCTTTTTGTTTTAATAAAGTTACACTTTCAATTTTGCCACATTTCTCAGACAAAGTTACGATGCTTGGGCTTGTATTCATTGCTAACTTTTCGTAAACTCAGCATAGGTATAATATAAGTCCCCTTAAATAATTGTAGTTCCTAGCTATTTTTACAAAAGAATTTTTTCCCAATGTAGCTGCGTGAGGCTTGCACCAGGAGGATCAACGACAAACACAAATGGCTCCTGATTGCAGGCAGGAAGCAACAGCTAAGGGGATATGGCCGTGTGGATCTGAACGCAAGGGAAGGGGAGAGGGGGGAGGGGAGAGGGGAAAGGAGGGTTCTACGTCTGTCTGGCTATGCGACTAGAATTCAACATTTTGCCGCCATTAAAATCAAATTGCACTTTCGTGCAGCACACAGGCCAGGACACCAGGATACTAAGCCAGATTCAGGAGGAAGTGCCAAGTGGGCGGAGGGGGAGTGGCGGTGGTAATGTCGAACAGGCGGAGGTCACGAGCCGCGTCAACGTTTTTGGCAATTTCAGCAAAATATTCCTCTCGTTCCTCAGCAGTTCCATTGCTTTTTTTATGATTAATAAAAGCAAATGTAAATAGTCGCAAATAAATGGCAGCTAAACGAAATGAAAGCAAGCGTTGCACGGCGACCTTCAGGAGTTTGGTGGTGGTGGTGCTCGTGGTGGTGCAGGTGGTTGCAGTGGGTGAATGGGAGATTGGATGGGAAAGAAACTCCTCCGCATTGCCCCTCCACCCCAGAAACTTTCGCTTAATTTCTATTAGCATTGCTGTCGCTTCATTTTCATTGCTGCGGCACGCTCCGCAGGTTGCTGAGGTTACCCAAAAGGGGCAGATGGGGTTGCAAACTTCGCGAGGGTGGAAAAGTGGGAGGGGATGGGTGAAACGATGACTGGTGGTCGAGGGAATGCAACTGTCTGCCGGGCTTGATTGTTTGTATTTCTCATGGCACTCGATGTCAGTCAAAATCGCTTCGTTTTCCCACACTCTCATACCCGAAACTCCCGAAACTTCAAACAGTCAAACTTCCATTTCTCGAACAAACAGATGTCACAGGGATGTGTTTTTATGTTTTCATTTCCAAGAATGTTGTTATTGCATTTGCAAGATATTATGGGGTGGATCATACGTGGCAACAAGACGGAATTGTTATTCCCAATATTTCATTAGTTGCCTTTTGAAAGTATTTAATACAATACGCATTTCTTAGCCAATTTTCCGTTTAGAATCTCATTCCATGAATTTGGCTAATTCCAAAAATGTCTCCAAGAAGTTTAAAGACTTGCAGAGAAAAGTCTGTAAAGTTTAACCATTAAACGCTATTGCCACACAATTCTGTGAGAGTTGCCAAAAATTCAACTTAGGGAACTCCGACTGTAAACCCATTCCATGGGTGAAACCCCCAAAAAGTATGCACCACCCACCCAGAAAACCAGAGAACCCACCCACTTTGTAGCGCTGTTTGTTTTACAACGTTTTTAACTTGTTTGCAAGGATTAGGTAAGCAACTCAAACAAGGACGAGGGACCAGGACCTCGCCAGGATGCAATGCGAACTCATAAAAATAGACAAAGACAGAGCCTGCCAATTTTCAGCAGCAAAATGATGGGGGAGGGGAAGGGGGAGGGGAAAGGTAGAGACTTTCCCCCATACTGCGTTGCCACAGACTGATTTCCATTCAGCAACCGTTGCCAACATTAAATGCATCGAATTACATTTTCTATTAACCAACTTTAAGGGGGGAATTTGTTTGGGATCGTGTGGCTACTTTGTGTGTGGAAACAGGGGGAGGGAAGAGGGGGGAAAGAGAGGAAAAAGGGGGGTAAAGAGGGTTGAGGGGGGAAGTTATGTTGTAGCAGCCCTGAGCGAATGTTGCTCGTTTGTTTGCTGCTTGTTTTACAATTCGCTTTTTTAACGCTTTCGCGCTGTGATTCCTTCGTCCTGCCAGCGGGTCCCTGACATTGTTGTGCGGCGCCTTGAACCTTTTGCAGTCCTTGCTCCCAGTAAAGACTCCCCTTTACCCCCCATCTCCCCCCTTTCCCCGCCCCTCTAACCGCCGCCTGCTAACCCGTCTTGATTGCACAAGTTTTTGTACTGCGCTTTGGCTAAGAAGCCGCTGGCTGCACGCCGTTTAGAGCTGCTCCTCCTCCAACTCCTCCTCCTCCTTTCCCTTCTTTTCCGGCTTTAAGTTATGAAAACTTTTGTCCCTGTTTTTTCCCGCCTGCTTGGCTTTTCTTCCTGCTGCGCTGCTGCTGCTGCTGTGGCGGTTTTCCCTGCTCTCCTCTGCTTGGCTTTTTCCACGTATTTGGTTCCTCTTTAAGCGCACATTAATCAAAGTTTTTCGTTGGGCTTAGTCGAAGTTTGAGGGCATTTATAAGGCAATTGTGGAGCTCGTTTCGTTGGCCACGACAGGTGTGTGGGTGCCGGCTTCTTGGCCTTTCCTTGACGGCTGCATTGGACATTGAAGCCATATGGCATTAGGGCCAAACATTCAGCAGCACGCCGAGAAAATGGGGGCATTGAACGGCAGGCCACAATACATAAAGGATGGTAGTTTTTCTACCTCAATGTAAATAAAGTGGGGAGCCTTTTCAGTTCAATTTAAATCAGTTTCGGAATCTTAAAGACCCCATAAGCATCACAGCTTGAGTAGGTAAACTTCCTTTCATTTTGATTAGTAAGTTTTTGTTTTAGATTTTTAGAGCTTACAGCATCTTATAAATAAAATAAAAGAAATTAGAACACATTTTTATTTTAAGACAGTCTTGAACACTTACGGCTCATAAAAAATAGATTAAATTTATTATTCTGCAAGTAAACTTATTGGCAGCTTTGTATTTTATTTACCATAAAATCCGTAAGGCTTTCTTTAAAGTAAACAATCTTTCTTTAATGCAGAGTGCAAAGTCATAAACTTGAAAATGTTGCTTATGGTTTTATTCATGAACCATTATTTACTATATACAATTAAAATTAATGGAATGCACACAACTTTTAAGGGTAAAAACTATGTAATGATTTAAATCTGTTCAATGTATTTTCATAATTAAATCCCGACTTTTGCCACAGTGCAGCTGGACTAACCTGTCAAACAAAAGTCTCCGAAAATTCCTGAAAACTTTCCCGTCCTCCCCCTCCCCCCTCTAAAACTGACCGCAGTCCTGGCCTTCAGCTCCTGTTCCCCCTCCCCCCTCGCCACTCCTCAAACTCCTATTTATGTTCCCGAGCAGAGCTCGAAAGTCAAACAGCAGGGACAGTGGGGGAAAGTAAGCTGCAAGACATTCGAAAGAGCCGACTGTCTGAAGGTTACCGCACACTCACACAATGCCTAATTGTCTTTGGGCTCGACTATGTCTGGCCGACTGGCCCCTCCCACCATTCCCTACCCGCCCCCTCAGGGCCTGTCTGAGTGACTTATGTCTGGCTTTAGAGAACTTTTTTGCAGCATACAATGTTGCATTGCAAATTGAAACACGCGACGCAGCGCGATGCAAAAAAAAAAAAAAAAAAAAAGAAATCAAAAAAAGAAAAAAAAAGAAGAGAAGAATTTCCCAGACACACACACACACACACACACACACAACTACGGGCATATGCATAAATAATAATGCACGAGCGTACTTTAAGTGCAGGCGTCTGCTAGGCTCAAAGCTCAGATTCTCAGTCATTTTCCCAGATCCCTTTTCCTGCCCTTCCCCTCCTTTCCTTTCCCTCGGAAAACCCTTCACTCGTCTAGCCGTCTGCCCTCGCTTTGGGCTGTCCAGTTTTTCCAGGAGTTGGAGGTTGGGTGGCATTGTATGCACTTCAGCTCGAAAGTGTCTGCTGCATTTACCCTTGAAAATGTTGCCGCTGCAGACTCCGCTTCACATTGCACATTGCACGTTGCACGTTGCACATCCGTCCGTCCGTCAGTTCGTCGCAAATGAGTTCAATACACTTGGCATAAACACAAACATTACTGGGAAATCCACTCATCGCGCGGGAATTTCCGCACTGCGCCTGCGCCGTTTTCCCAACTAATAATGCTCTCCGAATTTTCCGCTCTTTTCAGGCTTTTCCGAACTTGAACGAAACGAGACGAGACGAGCGGACTCGAGACGAGCCTGTTTATTTAACACACTTCCTCGCTGCGAAAGCCTTCAGTTCGTGTCTGCTGCTCGCGAAGTGCGCGCCACAGTGAACAGTTAAACCGGAAACGGAAACAGAACCGAAAACGATAACGGAGACGAGTTCGCAATCGTGAACGGAAGCGGAAGCTAAGGAACATGTGTGTGTGACGGGACGATCGCTGCTCCCCGAAACAAAACAAAAACAAAATATATCGCATAGATAAATGCCGCTCAATGCCAAGTAAAAGATTGCTCAATCAGTGAACTAGTGAACAAGTGGTCAAGCAAGTGATTGAAGCTGCTTCCCGAAAGCAAACAAATACTATAGAATAAACTTTGGCTAGGCATCATGTGTGCCACGGGGAACCGCCGGCTAAGCAGCCTCAGTGCTCTGCTCCTCGTCCTTGTGGCCCAAGCCGTCCACGTGGAGTTCGCCCGGGCGGATTATGAGAACACCTGGAATTTATACTACGAGCCGCCCTGCTGCACGGGCTCGGCTGCTGGCCACCACCTGCGCCACCACAAAGGTAAGTCCCATCCAGTTAGTCAGCTCCGTGTCCACCCGCCGCATTTCATTCCCCGCACTCAGCCAACTGAGGTAAGTGAGTGGCCAAGGAGAACCGACTAATTTGTGGCCGGATTAGGGGTCTTATGCAGCAACTAAATTCAGTTTGACTAACACAGTCGCTGCACTGAGGGAAAAGTAGCTTACAATGCCAGTTAATATTCCAGATTTATCTTAATAAATTTTTGTATAAGAAAGCCAATTTAAATTCTAGGTTTTATATAGATATCTCTTGATATCTTTATCAAAAATGCCTTAGAAGCTACATGTTTCTTAAGATAATATTGTGGAAAAGTCAGTCTGTTTAACAAAATCATTCATTGACTTGTTGTCTTTCCTAAAAATATATTCCAACATTTTGTAGTTATCTAAGAAAAAAATCTGTAATAAATTTTGACGAAAAAAAAGGAAAGGATATTTACCCTAGTTTGCTTTGCATACTTCACTCCACGTAATTTAAGAAAATATATTTGAAATTCCAATTTGTGTTTCTTAGAACCCTTTGCCCCGGGATATTTTTTCCTGCTTCCCTAACGAACAAGAATGCGATACATCAACTTTTTAAAGAGACTCCTAACTTTAACGAAATGCCTTTAAACCGTTGCTTAGCCAAAAGAAATAAGATATTTTTCCCTAGTGTCTCTGCATGGGGAAATGCGAAATACAAATAGAATGGCTTAAACGTTTGCCTCACTTTGTTCGGCCTCGAATTCCCGGCCAGCTAAGCTCCGCCGAACAAAACTATTCACAACAATGCGATGAGGGCCAGGATCGAAGTTTGGGAAATAAGTCAACAGCTTACATAGCCGCGAATGCCAAGAAGCCCAAATAGATGATGATTGTGTGTGTGTTTGGCTGTGTGTGTGTCTGTGTATTTGGGGGTTTCCCTTTTTATGGCCAAAAGGAATAATTTTCACTTTAAGCGGATTTGCCACCCACATCTCCTTTTCGTTCTCCATCTCATTCTCATTGCCATTCCCATTCTCCTTTTCTTGATTTGCCATTTCGCTCCACTTCCGTCGGCGACGTCTGTTATCCTTTTTCACCCGGCTCCCTGGCCATTTGGCACCCAGAACTCGTTCGCATTGCTATTGTTTTGCCATTGTTTTATTTCATCGGCAAGACATTTCTCTTCCGCATTGTGTGAAGTCGATAGGGAGCTCCAAAGGGGTTTCCAAAGGGAAGAGTGCGGATCGTGGAACTTATAGACTCATTCGCGCGCAGCAGCCTGTGCTTCCTTGTACTTTACTTTTCCGCCGGAGCTCGACTAAAATTAAAAACTTTTGCCCGACTGCACGGTCTTCGCTTTTTTGTTGTTTGTTCAGCGGCAGGACCTCTTACCACCTCCCCCTTTTCACCCCTTTTGCAGCATCCCCATCTTGACCGTCACTTCCGCCACTTAAGATGTGTTTTATTTTAGCCAAGCTCTCTCTCTGTTTTTCTTTTTTCCCTCTTGTTTTTCTTTTTCTTTTTTTTTTGCCCCAACTATTAGTGTTTAATTAGTTTTCAAGTGGACTTTTTATGGACTGAAAGCCGGGCTTAGCCCAACACAGATTCCCGTTTTACTGAGCTGTCACTGAATAATTAAAACTCATTTCGCATATCGGATGAATGTGAGTAAGTAATCCGCTTTAACCAACAAAGTGCGGGAATTACTATCCGCCGCTGGAGTGGAAAACTTTTTAATGCTCATGAGAAATTATGACTAGCACGGGCTATTATGTGTGAAAATGCGGCTTTGTTTAGCTTTTTTTTTGCTCTTATTTTTATTTGCATAAACAATTTGGGCTTACGCAGAAGATTCTCCTCTTTGTTACTCTTTACAATTACTGCAATCTGGGGAGGGATTTCCCGGCCGCAGAAATGTAAACAGAAACGAGTTTTAAGCGCTCAAACTTTCCGGCGACCCGAAAAGCAAAAAGAAGGAGGATTTTCAACTTCATAAAGGTTTTCTGCCAGACACCAAAGTAAGCAACAAAAATCAGGGAAAAAAAACGAAGGGAAAAAGGAAGAAAATCGAGGCGAAAAGCGTTGGGATAGCATATCAGATGTTTGCGTTGTTAATTAAAGAAAAACAAGCAAGAGTTTAATGGCGAATATTAGCGCCCCCCGCTGAAAGTGACCTCCAGAAAGCCCCAGTCGCAACCTCAATATCCACCTGGCTTTTGGTCCAAACTGCGGACATTGCGTAAATAGAAACAGCGAAAAAGGGGTGCAAAGGCACAAACACAACATTACGAACACATACACACACATACACACACAAAAAAAGGAAAACTTGGCTCCTTATTTCCCTCACGCACGCAAAGCCGAAAAACAACGCAAAAAACAGGGAAAAGCGGGAAAAAACAGGAAAATGGCTGGGGGTGCCGTAAAGCAGGAAAATGAAAACTGCTCACAAATGTTCATTCCTCTCGTAAACTTAAAGAATTTCGAGCATTTAGCGCTGGCAGCCAACAAAAGTTTGTTGTTTCACCCTGTTCTTCTTTTCTATGTTTTTTTGGTTTTTCTCGTATTTGTTGGTTTTTTTTTTTTTGGAGAAAACGAGGAAAGTTTTACGTTCGACCAGCAGGTGGAAGTACTTTGAGCTGTGGGCAGCCATCGTCGGCTAAATTAGCCAACCCAGCTCAGCAATTAAGCAGCAATTTTCAGCTGTAAACGCCGAAGGGAGGAGCGAAACTTTTCGGCAGGATTCCTTAGCAGGCATTTCATAAGTCCATCAGCAAATGCACACAATTGAAGTCAAGTCAAAGGTACAATTGCCGAAAGCCGAAAACAGAAAACCGAACGAAAAGCACACACGCAAGCACAATCAATGTGCCACCGACAGGGCGTATACGCAATTTTCGGGGGAATGGGAGGATGTGGTTTTCGGGGCGGAATTTAAGAAAATCAATACGGGCTGCGCTCGCTTTCATGTGTGTGTGTGTGTGTGTTGGTGTGGTTGTAACATTAATGGCAGGCCTGGCAGATTCACCTGAATGTTTTTGGGGCCAAAATCCAAAGCCGACTAAGCCATAATTTACAATCGCATTGACCTGGTTTTCCGGGCCAGGGATCGGATTCATTAGCCTGTAACTGTAACTGAAACTGGAACTGTAGCTGCAGCTCCAAGTGCCATAATTCAGTTCGCATCGCCGCAAGTACAAATGCTTGTTTGACACACAGAGTGTGTAATTTATCTTAATGCAAAAAGCAGAGGCGTAGCGACGACCTTCCCAAGGATCAGATACAAGGGTACAGGGATACAGATATAGAGCCACCACGCTACAGATATAAATACACTTACACTCGAGCTGCGGTTACACAAAGCCAGACAACGAGTGTGTGGGAGTGTGTGTGTATATCGACACCTCCAAGGATCCAAGGTTCTGCAACCGCAGAAGAGAGGCGAAAAGGAAGGACGCCTCCTCACGTTTCTCGTTTCAAAGCCACTCGCATTTCGGCTCAAGTTAATGACGACAAATTAATTAAACCAGAAATGTCTGCGCCACTAAATTTGATTATAAAAGTTTACGTTTTCCATTCCAATTTCCCTCCGACGCTGAGTGAGTGTGTGGCCTGCGCCATAAATTCGTTAACATAATGATGCTTTAGTCGTACGCATTAACCCCAAAAAAACGACTGGCATTAAAACTTTGGTCTTTCAACTTTTCTTCGGGTTCGTTCGAATGACAATGGCAACTTGTTTATAGTTTTGGCTTAACAACTTACGGCAAGCCTATTAAAATTAATTTCGTTTTATGTTAATGCCGAGTTTATTCAATTTATTTAAAACACATGTCGCTTGATTTAATTAACTTTACATGACCGCTGCGGCTTTTGTTGCAGGAGGCAGCGGCAACATCAGCAGCACGCATGTTGCTCCTGTGACCGATGTTGCTGTTGCAACTGCAACTGCTGCTGCTGCTGACACATGATGGGGAAAAGCCCGATGGCCATAACACCGGACCTGACAATATTACGCCGCTTTTGTTGTCAGCCGTGTGTTTTTAATTAAACACTTTTAACATTAAAATAAAGCGCAACGGAGCTTAAACAGCGTATAATTATAAAAAGTTTAAAGGCGATATCAGCAATATATAAACACATATTAACTAATACATATGTGTTCAATATTATAATAATAATATAATAAATACAAATATTATATATTGAAGAAGGAGCATTGTAATAGAATATGTTCAAAAGAATATTCTATTTATATTTATTCAGCAAATAATTATTAAGAGTTTAAAGAAAGTAAAAATATCAATCTATACAAGATGTACCTATGATTTACCTAATTTTAACACCATATAAGTAATTTTAAAGATGTGTTCGATAGATGTTGCTCAGGGAAATGGAGACTCCTGAATCCCTGAGCAACATCTATCGAACACATCTTTAAAATTACTTATATGGTGTTTGTGAAAAGGCAAGCGACAACAAAGTTAAAGCTGCATATAATAATTATGAGTTTCATGGAAGCAAAATCAGCAATCCATACCAGAATCATGATTTACCTAATATGAGTTGTTCAACGCTCCTGCTTTGTTATTCCAAAGATGTTATTGTAGAGATATGTTCAATAGAAACTTGTATTTGCGGAAGGATTCCTGATTCCCCTTTGAATTTTCCCATTATGCTCCTCAACAAGTAGAGCCTTCACTCATTAGTTTTGCCCATTACAAACACATTCGAAACTCCGTTCCATTCCAGAACATCATAAACATAAATAATCATTAGGGCTAGACATAAATGGCAAACTTTGATCTTCAGGAAGGTATAGCACTTAACGTTCGGCCACTCCCCCCCATCCGCCATATACTTCCGTTACGCACTGTACACAAACACACTCGGACACCTCTCGGTGCACTTATTTACACTCGATTTCAATTATCTGCTCGTACTCGTATTTAGACACACCAACCGACCGCAAGGAAATGAACAACCGAAATATGCTCGTTCATTAGGAGAAAA